GCATACATCTGGTTTTCAACTATCCCAAGTGTTCTCTACACTGCTCTGATGCTTCCTCCATTCTTCAGAGCGTGTTCAATTCTCTCCATGTTATACCTTCTTACGTCGGATATCTTACGCCTATTAATCAACTTCAAAAGCCTTACCAACTCTATTTTGTCTGTTGTACTTGAGGCTTTCATGCTTTGACGCTTCTTAATGAGATTTTTTGTTTCCTGGGACAGCTTGCCAGTGTCCTGTCTAACTACAGTACCTCCAACTTCCACTGTTCACTCTGTAATGATACTCGTGTGATTATCGTTCATTGCGTCCACACTAAGGGTGGTTTCCTCGATAAGAGCTGAATATCTTTTCTGAAGCGAGACTGAATTTCCGTACTTTCCCTCGCAGTGCTAGCTCATTGATTGGCTTCTTGCGTATCAGTTTCTGTTGTTCCTTCTTCAATTCTAGGCGAATTTGGGACCGTATTGTTACGTGGAAAATAACAGTAGTCAGTCTGCAGCCACAACGCAGCTCACCGACTAAGTCCACTTCTTCACTCTCAGTCTGAGGCACCTTTCTTGGGTATGTCCCACTATGCCCTGTTTCAGTCAGCCGAAATCACGTAACACGACCCACGGCGGCAAAAGCGCCGACCCGGCGAGTTTACGAGGCCACAGCAGGAGCAGTGTGGTAACGCTTAAGCCTTGATACGTGGACGATGTCCTTTGACAGCAGAGCAGAAGAGGTTGATGGATTATCAGGGACAATTTCATATGTAGTGTTGGTCACTCGTTTAAGCACGTGGTATGGGCCCGTGAAACGAGAAAGAAGTTTCTCTGAAAGACCTGCATGTCGCTTAGGAAACCAAAGAAGAACGAGGGAACCTGTTGGAAATTGTTCATCGCGATGCCACTCGTCGTAACGATGCTTCTGCAAGTCTTGGGACGCCATTAATCTGCTGCGGGCAAGCTGACGAGCATGGTCAGTGGTTGTTGTGTTGAACACAACAGTCAGCTCGGGTAAGAGCGTCGCGTGCATATTCAGAAGTAGACTGCGCAGCGGCTGGCAGGAAGGTATCCAACGGCAATGTTGGTTCCCATCCAAACAGAAGATAAAATGGCGAGTACCCAGCGGTGTCATGCCAGGAGGAATTGTATGCGAACGTCACGTAGGGTAGTGCAAGGTCCCAATCACGATGGTCGGCCGAGACGTATTTCGATAGCATGTCTGTCAGGATGCGGTTTAAACGTTCTCGTTTGTCTGGGGATGGTACGATGTCGTGAGCTTATGTTGGGTAGAGCAGGAACGCAGGATATCGTCAACCACTTTCGAAAGGAACGTACGGACTCGGTCTGTCAGCAGTTGACGAGGGGCTCCATGCACTAAAATGAGATCGCGTAGTAGAAAATCAGCAACATCTGTAGCACAGCTTGTTGGCATGGCTCGCGTAACTGCATAACGGGTCGCGTAATGCGTAGCCACCGCGACCCACTTGTTTCCGGAGGCGGATGTTGCGAAGAGACCGAGAAGGTCCAAACCAACACAGAAGAATGGCTCTGATGGGGTGTAGATGGGTTGAAGATATCCGGAAGAGAGTCCCGACGGCTTTTTGCGACGCTGGCAAATTTCACAAGCGTTGACATAATGACGTACAGAGCGTGAAAGGCCAGGACAGTAGAAGCGGCGGCGCACACGGTCATATGTGCGAGAGACACTAAGGTGACCCGCGGTTGGCGCGTCATGAAGCTCGCGTAGGACTGTGGAGAACAGGTGCTTTGGTATGACCAGAAGTAGGTCATGACCATTGGGCGATAAATTACGCCGATATAAGGTGTGGTCCTTTAAGGTGAACACGCGAACAGAAGCGTCTTGCGGTGAAGATTCGAGCTGTTGTATTAGGCAGCTGATATCCGGATCGCGACGCTGCTCGTCCCCAAAATGAAGCAGCTGGGAGATGGAAAGGACGCAACCCACAGAATCAGTGCTCGTAGGATTGCAGTCGGCCACAAAGTAGCGTGACAGACAATCCACATCTTTGCGCAGTTTTTCTGATTTATACATTACGGTGTAAGAATACTCCTGGAGGCGGAGTGCCCAGCGGGCGAGACGACCTGTGGGATCTTTGAGGAAGGCGAGCCAGCAAAGAGCGTGGTGGTCCATGAGAACTATAAATGGTCGGCCGTATAAGTAAGGGCGAAATTTCGCGACTGCCCACACCAGCGCTAGACATTCGCGCTCTGCGATGGAATAATTACGCTCCGACGGGGACAGCAGCCTGCTGGCATATGCTATCACGCGATTCTGCCCATGTTGTTGCTGAGCCAACACAGCGCCTATTCCGTAATCGCTGGCATTGGTGCGGACTTCGGTCGGTGCCGTAGGGTCGAAGTGAGCCAGAACAGGAGAAGAAGTGAGCAAATTGGTCAGGTCGGAGAATGCTGCTGCTTGCGAGGGACCCCAGGTAAACGTCTCATCTGGTTTGAGTAAATCTGTTCGGGGCCGAGCGATTTCCGCGAAGTTCTTGATGAACTGCCGAAAGTAGGAGCAGAGCCCCACAAAGCTGCGGACATCTTTGGCCGTTTTTGGCACAGGAAAGTCCTTCACAGCTCAAACTTTTTCTGGGTCAGGCTGTACACCGTAAGCGTCAAATATATGTCCAAGTATTGTAATGCGACGGCGACCAAATCGGCACTTTGATGAATTCAGCTGAAGGCCGGCGAGACGGAATACGTCAAGAATTTTCGACAGTCTCTCAAGGTGCACTTCAAAAGTGGGAGCAAACACAATCACGCCATCCAGATAACAAAGACATGTAGACCACTTGAATCCATGAAGCAGGGAGTCCATCATTTGTTCAAAGGTGGGGGGGGGGGCATTACATAAGCCGACAGGCATGACTTTGAATTGTTAGAGGCCATCGGGTGTTACAAAAGCCGTCTTCTCTCGGTCCATGGGGTCCATGGCAATCTGCCAATAACCAAAACGAAGATCGATAGAAGAAAAGTAGGTGGCACCATGGAGGCAATCAAGGGCGTCGTCAATGCGGGGCAGAGGGTATGCGTCTTTCTTGGTGATCTTGTTAAGGTGGCGATAGTCCACACGAAATCGCCACGATCCGTCCTTTTTAACTAATACCACCGGGGATGCCCAGGGACTGGAGGATGGTTCAATAATGTCCTTCGCTAGCATCTTGTTTACCTCCTTATGAATTATGCTCCGCTCAAAAGCAGACACTTTGTAGGGACGGCGGTGAACAGGGTTGGCATCACCTGTGTGTATGCGATGCTGGACAAAGGACGTCTGCCCTAGAGGTTGGTTGCCAAAATCGAAAATATCTTGGTAGGCCTCGAGAAGATGTTGTAGGGCTTACACTTGCGGAGGCGGAAGATCAGTGGTGATCATGTCTACAATTTGACGGCTGCCCAAATGTGTTGCGAGTGATGTGCGCTGCAGTGAAGCAAGGGTGTCTAAGGCAAGCACTTAAATTTGTGAATCAAGCAACGGGCACAGGTGGGCCACGGAAATGCCTTGTGGAAGCACATCATTCATGTAGCCGAAATTTACAAGTGGTAGACAAATTTTTTTGTCTGTGATGCTAACCACCGTATAGGGCACTGCAACATTGTGCGCAAGGAGTACGTCAGTGAGAGGCGTAGCGTAATAGCCACCGTCGGGGCACATCTGGTGAGCACAGAAAATCGACGTACATCACAGTTGTGGAGGGCAGGTGAACAAACTCACTGCATTGTAATCGGCATGTAGGTTGCTACGGGGCGTCACCGATTTGTGGCAGTTCAAGGCGGAGCACACCAGCGGAGCAATCAATCAGAGCAGAATTGGCGGCAAGAAAATCGAGGCCTAGTATGAGGTCGTGGCGACATGTTGCAAGCACGGTAAAAGGAACGACCACTTGATGACCGGCTACAGTAAGTTGAGCTGGGCACATACCGACGACAGGGACTGTTGCGCCATCTGGAACTTGGACGACACTGGTCAAGGGGGGCGTGAGAACCTTCTTCATGCGACGACGAAAACGCGAACTCATAATACAGACGTGGGCGCCCGTATCTATCAAAGCTTCAACAGGTGTGACATCAACATATACTTCAAGGGTGTTCCGGTTCAAACGTAAGGGCAACAGAGGATTTTTGGGTAAGGTCTACAGGGCAGCTTCACCTCCAGAAGCTGCGAAGCCAAGTTTTCCGGGGACATGCGGCAGTTAAACGATGGCGAGTGAGAGCGGCGACACGTATTTGAACTAGAAGGGCGGCTTTGAGGCGGTGGTAACGACGGGACAGGGTGGCCGTAGTCCTCAGGGGCAGTAAATGCTGTTGACTCAGTGCGGGTTGGATAACGGTGGTTTGGTAGACAGAATGAGTTACTGTAAGCGGGGTACGAGAAAGAAGACATAGATCACGTGGAGTATTGCGCCACTCAAGCAAAGCCATTTCAAACACGAGCATTTTCAATGAGCACTTTTTTAAAAGCTTTTTTGCCTCCTGGACCGCTCTTTCCGTCATGCCGTTTGACCGCGGGTGGTAGGGTCTTGAGGTTACGTGAGCAATGCCCAAAGTGTCCAGAAACTCCTTGAACTCATGACTGCTAAAAGGCGGGCCATTATCACTGCACAACTTTAGTGGCAAGCCTTGGACGGAAAAAATTTCTGAACACCATATTTTAAGCGAGCTCGCCGTTGTCGTCCGAAACTCTCGTAGTTCAAAGAAGAACGAGTAGAAGTGGACAATGACGGCGAACTCTCGGCCTTCGAAACAGAACAAATCTATGCCGACAACTTGCCATGGTAGCGAGGGTACCTCGTGACTCAAAAGTGGCATCTTATGGTTCTGAGGTTTATGCTTTTGACATACTTTGCAAGCTTTGCAGAACTGCTCGATGTTGCCCGCCATATTCGGCCAAAACATCACGTTCCTTGCCCTAGCCTTCATTTTTTCGACTCCCACATGCGCTGAGTGAAGAGTACTCATCATTTCTGATGTCTTCGATTGTGGCACGATTACCTTGTTACTCCGGAATACGAGGCCGTCCTGTTTGTGTATCTCGTCCCGGTACTCCCAGTACGTCCGAAGTGGCTCGGGGACGTCTTGCTTGTGAAGCAGCCATGCTGTACTTGCGTATTCGTGGAGCTTGCCCAGGGTTGAGTCCTCATTGGTGGCTTGAAGCAAGTCTTGCAGCGCGCGTGCAGAGGCTGAAATACATTGAAGAACATTGACCTGAAACTGCTCGTCTTCTGGCATGCATGCTTTGCTCGGAAACCTTGACAAAGCATCAGCTAGGAATAGTTCTTGGCCCGGTTTGTAAGTCACATGGATGGGGTAACGTTGTAGAGTAAGGCGCATGCGTTGTAACCGTAGTGGGCACTGATACAACGGCTTACTGAATATCGCTACTAAGGGACAGTGGTCACTTTCCACAGTGACTGCATGCTGTCCGAATATGTAGTCATGAAATTTAGTGCACCCATGTACAATAGCAAGTGTTTTCTTCTCTATCTGTGCGTATCTTGTCTGCGCTTCCGTAAGTGTCCGTGACGAAAATGCGACGGGCTGCGCATCCTGCATTAGGACAGCGCCCACCCCCAGCTGGCTCGCATCCACCGATAAGGTCACCGGTTTACTGGAATCAAAATACCGGAGTACTGGCGCTTGTATCAGAGCCTCACGCAGTCTAAGAAAACTTTCTTGCTGCACCTCCGTCCAGACCCATGCAGTGCCTTTCCGCAGCAAAGTACGAAGTGGTGCTGTGACCTCAGACATGTTTGGAATAAAACGCTGTACAAAATTCATTCTGCCCAAAAAGACTTGTAGCTCCCTACAGTTCTTTGGTGTCGGCATTTCCAAAATGTCCTGTACACGTTGTGGGTCCACACGCAAGCCTTCGGCAGTGAGCACGTGCCCAAGGTAGCGAACCTCTCTCTGCAAAAAGAAACACTTCTTTAGGTTTAGTCGAAGATTCTGTTCGCGGCAGCGTGCTAGAAGGAGCTGCAAATTGTAGTCATGTTCTTGCTTTGTTTGGCCCCAGACTAGAATGTCATCCATTACTACCGCTACATTTGCGAGACCTTCTAGGACACGCTGCATCGCTGCTTGGAATATTTCTGGTGATGAGGCAATACCGAAGGGCATGCGGAGAAAGCGGTAGCGTCCGTACGGTGTACTCATTGTGCAAAGTTTGGAGCTATAGTCTTTCAGCTTTATCTGCCAAAACCCTGAAGCTGCGTCTAATGTCGAAAAAAATTTGGCTCCAGCAAGCTTTGGCACAACGTCTTCCAGTGTAGGCATAGGATAGTTCTCCCGCAAAAGTGCTTTGTTGAGCTCGATGGGATCTAGGCAGATGCGTACTTTATCTTTCTTAACGACGGTGACCATGTGCTTTGACCATTCCGTTGGACCCCTTACCTTTGTTATCACGCCTTGTTCTTCCATACGCTTGAGCTCTTCCTTGACTCTTTCCTGAAGGGCCACGGGAACTCGCCTGGCTGGCACGACGATTACAATGGTTCCGGGCTTTAACTTCATTGCGTACTCTTCGCCTTTCAGCTGTCCCAGTCCACTGAAGACTTCTGCGAAAGGTTGAGCCGCTGGGTACAACTGTCGGACGTGAACATTTTGCACGCGGCAAATAAATCCTAGGCGTTCCGCCACTAATCCACTTAGAGTCACAGGCACATTTTGTTCGACCACAAAAAAAGTTTCTTCGTGCTCTTTGCTGTTAGCACGTAGGCGCAGCCGAATTTTTCCTGTCGCTGGGGTCTTATGGCCGAAGAAGGCGGTCAGGGTCGCGTGGCAGGTTTGCAGGGGTCCATTGCTAAGCTTTTTTGAGTCTTTGCTTGAAATTACGCAGCAGTTAGCACCCGTATCTAGCTTGCACGTGAATTGGCAGCCTTCGATGTCAACTGCTGCAGTCCAGTTATCTCCCGCTGCGACTGCGCATACGGTCAAAGCTTCCAAGAAAAAATTTTCTTCATCCATTTGTAGTTCGTGCAGCTCTTTTTTCACGCCTCTGTTTTGTCGCCGCACCGACGATCTACATGCTTGAGCGAAATGGTTACGCCCCCCGCAATTTTTGCAGGTTTTTCCTGTAGCCGGGCACCTTGCGTTACCGTGCGCGCTATAACCGCACCGACTACAGTGATGCTTTTGGGTGCTGACTGCCTGAATAACTGCGGCGCTTGCTGCTTCTGTGCCTTCATTAATTTCTTTAAACTGCTCCTTCCCGATTTCTTGGGCGCGACACATTTCGACGCTCCTGCTGTACGACGGATTCTCGGCGATAAGCTTTTCTTGCAAGCGTTTATCTCTCAATCCCAGAATAATCCGGCTGCGAAGCGAACGGTCTTCTAAGTCCCCGAACTCGCAGTTCTTCGCTAAAAGCCGGAGATTGGTTAGCCAGTCATTGAAACACTCCCCTGGCCTTTGGTTCCTTGATCCGAAGCGGAATTCATTAAACGTCAGGTTAGTCACTGGCTTGTAGAATTCCTCAAACTTTTCAAGCAACGTCTCGACGTTGTTTTTGTCTGCATCATCTTTGAATTTGAAGGTGTTGTAAGCCTTCCTACCTTCTTCGCCGACTGTTACGAGTAACGTTGCTGCTTGTACTTCTTTAGGCTGCTTTCTCAACTGGGTAGCGGTGGAGAACAAAGTGAACTCACTTTTCCATGTCTTCCATGCAAGCCATGCGTCTGTCGACGGGTCCAGTGGCTTGGGTGGGGGAAGCAGGGTTGACGGACCCGACATAGTGACGGGAATCCGCTGCCACCATGTATGCGAGTCGGCTTCAGGCAATGAACAACTTTATTGCCGGAACAAGAACGAGTATATATACACAGCTAGTGCCGCCGCTAGGCATGCGCACTAAAGGTACAAACAGTGACGTGGCGCTTATTGAGCCTTGCTACAATAATGAGGAAATATCCACGTCAGTACGACATTTGTTTATGTATACCAGGCTCACTTGCGGTTCGATTGTAATTACAGAAGATGCAAATTTAGTTTTTTTATGTCATGAAATATGTCATAAGAAGATGTGCACTGCATTATTCATTAGTTCTATGGATACCTATGAGTTTTCCACAATTGTATGTTTGTTCCTTAGGAGTTGATCGTAGTCCAAAATTTTTGAACAAGAGATGTGAAGGAAGTTTGCTTAACAATTTAAAGTTCTTTAGCAACATTACGTCTATTGGCATACTACTAAGCATTCAAGAAGCGTTTTATGGTGTGATACAGGCATTTTTTACAGTTAAATAGCCACTTCAGAAGGGCATTGTATTTAGGAGCATAAAAATTCGAGTTAATGAAGCAATAAACTCAAACTCAAACTCATATAAATTGCAACTTTTATTTATACTTCTGGAGCTTTGTTGGAGAAAGATCTATGTTCTTCTGAAGTAAGCAGTTTTTATTATTCAGCATAAAAACATGCAGTTATTTTCCTAATATGTGTGTAAAGTTTATTTTTATTTTTTATAAACCTGTGCAATTTCTTTAGTGTGTCTGCTCTGGAGGTAGAAATCATGAAGGAGCAGCCCGAGGCTCTACCCTCAGGCTGCTCTTTCACAGATATATTAAGGACTTTCCTCTTAATGTGTTGTCCAGCACAATATATGCCTTTTTGCAGATGGTGTCGCACCAACAACATTCATAAGACAGCTTTACTCTTTAGCACGACCTCCTCCTAATCCAAAAATGGAGCTGAAAGTTGTGCATGTCCTAAATGTAAATAAGGTGCTCCCCTGTGTCTTCTCATGAGTGTCGTAAGAGTGTAGTGCGTTCGGACCCCTAACTAAAAGTAACATTTTAGCTCAGTACAAGGCACTTGAATATCTAGGAGCTCGGCATACTTCTAGTGACGTGCCTTGAACCCATCTTATTAATGAGCTAACGAATTCCTGTAATTGGTTACTTTGTAATTATCTATGCCAAAACTTGTCTTCAGCATCATCTTTATTCAGACTAGCTGTATATTAAACCTCAATTAAATTCCATTAGAATATGCCTGTGTACTCGATAACAACTATCAAAGTAAAATAATTATTTCTCTGTAATATAGGTCCCAAAAAATGTGCCAGATTCATTATTGTGGATGACATATGAAGTGTTTCAGCTCTAATACCTAGATTGTCTCTTCCCTCACACACCTCTCACTGCATACGTGCTTAACAACTATTTTACTACAGATTTTTTAATGCGTTACCCCATAAAACTACATCAATATTCCAGCGAATGCTTTTCTCACATGAATGAATAAAATTGCTGCTAGTGTGCCATGTGTGCATCAGTGTTAATTTTTTCTGCATAATTAATTCCCAGGAATCTCGTGCCCTTCCATCTGATAATGCCCTAATTACCAATATATTTCTCGTTTCAAAGTGACCTCTGAAGACCATTTGTAAATTTGTGAAATCTCACCCAACCAGCCATTTATTCAGTGTGCCCACCCATCTTGTACTGTCCCACATTGGAACTTTTGAGGTATCATGAATAAATAGGTGAATAAATAAACCGAAATGTAGGTATGCATGGACAACTTATATTAGGTAGGTACACAATATACAACCTTGTGCCAGGGTAGGATGCCAAAACAAGGTCAAGGTTAAGTGTATACGTAAAATTTGTTATAGTGTCGGTTGTATTATCAGCTGTGATAATGAAAAACGTCTTAGTTCTTAGCTTATGACTAAAGAGAAAGATCCTAGTGAAGTAGGATAATCATCCTCGGTTATGTTTGGAAGATTGAAATGACCCGGGAGTAGAATGGGTTACAAAAGAAATCTTTCGTGAGCATTGTTCAATATCGTATAACTCATAGGAAAATGTTGGTGTTGTTAAAAGGTGAGCAATAACAGAGCATATATCATGGAATGTTTATGAATACGACATGCATATGCCCAGACAGTCTCCAGACGCTTCCTTGAATAGATAATAAAATACGTAGCACCATTTGAGATTGCCAATAGGCTGCCACTTGATCTGAATGTAGTACAGTTGTAGCAAGAAGCAGAAAATTATGCAGCGCCGTTACATATTTTTGTTGTATGTGCATTTAAGGACATCAGAGTAAGCACGATTTTTTTCCACAAGACATGCTTCAATTGCAGACGATAATAAATCGTTACAGAGACACTCAAGTCTCACATTGGAGTCTGCAAAACTTAAACTTGAGAAAAAGAAGAAAATTAGCCAATGCTCCTCTCTCTTTCTGTGCCGAAGGATGTGGTGGGATAGAGCATGCATGCTGAGCATGTTTCACTTCATTTCATTAATCTCACTTGATGCAGTAAGACACAAGTTGAAAAAACTGGCACTTGACAACAGAAAAGTTCGGCTTTGGTCGGAGTTGCTCTGCCACCCAAGCAGGAAAGCAGACAAAGGGTGATCAAGCAACCTTTTTAAAAGGGTGTCATTAATCATTTCAGCATCAGTTCAATAAAAGTTTACACTTTTTATGTTCCGCTAACAAATGAGACACGTGAATTTATGCACTTACAATATTGTTCTTGCAGTTATCATTTTATTGCACTGATATATGGAAATTTTGTTGCGTGAATTATTTGCAACCACGTGCGGAAATAGTGGCTGACTGTTATAAGGGCATGGGAGGGGTTTCAATGTACAGCCGGTTGTACACTTCCTGTTCAGCGCTGACGTATCATAGCACTTTGTAAGAAAAGATTAGGAGAGACTTGAAGTCTTCTACTAAATGCTAGCAATTTGCCATGCTGTTTTTTTCGTTGATTTGAGACTACTCACAGATTACTTTCTGCTATTCACTTGTGCGGAACGTGTCGCTGACCAGGTCTTGCTTAATGATGCTTTGTGTGCAGTTCAAAATTGGTGTCAAAATGGGGGATAAAAACCAATTTTGACAAAACTACCTGTTAGTCGATAAATATCAATTAAGAAAGCCACTGAAGCATATAAATTAAATAGAAAAAAATGAAGCAATCAATTCAGATAAAATATGTGGTGTTACATCACTTCCAATCTAACCTAGAACAAGCATATTAGAAATATCTGAGGTTCGCCTAAATGCAAGTGGGAATTCTAAGGTCAGTTACGAGATGTCACGCCTGAAACACAGCTGATGGTCTCTAAAACAGCAGTGTGCCCAACCATAGATGGTGGTATAATCTGGGATCCACACAGCCAGAAGCTAGTATATGAGCTTGAATGAATCCAACAAATCAACAACCAGGTTTACTTATTTGTAATACCAAAAAACACAGTCAGTGACCGTGTTACTTCAAAGAGCTAACCCTCAGAAGTCTATAAAAAGATAAATCACATGCTTGTTGTCCTTGAACACACTGTATAATGAAACACTGAACAGAAATCCTATTTTGTGCTCCTTGCACCCTCCCGCCAGAGTGTTACTGAGTATAATTAAATCATCTGTATGATGTTTCACTTTTTACTACAAACGTTGATGTACTCGAGTTTTCCTTTCTACTTTACACAATTATCAAGTGAAACAATTAGGCTTGAATAAAGTGAATTTCGTAATTGTCAACCAGCTTAAGTTTTTCAGTGACATTTTGAACTGATTTTTGCATAGTAAGGTATAAATGGCCTCTCGTACTTATAACTGCCTGCAAGGACTTACAGAGCTCTAAAAAATAATGCACAAACACACACGCACACATATCCAGAAGTGTTTCTGCAGACCCAGTGCTTTGTTTGCACTGGATCATTTAGAAATAAGGGATGAATGAGTGAAAATGTTTTTTTTAACGTTTCAGCAGGAGGGCCTGCCTTCATCAGGGGATACAGGGCACAGGCATAAAGACACTTATTATATACGTGAGTACAGCGGGGGGCCCCCAACACGTGCTTAACTATTATCGTCATAGGCATGCTATGCATTAGACTCTCGATAATTCAAACTCTGATAATTCATACTTTCGGTTTATTCAAACAAAATTCTATTTTTGTTGGCTTTCTGTTCTTTCAATATATTTAAAAGCCTCTTAACTCAAACTCCATCATTTGGTAATTCATACTTTTTGCAGTTCCATACCAAAATAATCTGCTGCTTTCCCATGCACATGCACTACTATTTAAAAATTTGTGTGCTTATATAATCCTAACAGTCTGAAAATGAAAATTAGGCACCTCATGCGTTCAAGAAAAAAGGATTTTCTAGTAAACAAATGCTTGAAACGAAGCACACGAAGCACACAATTGGTACAGAGAGCTTTGTGCTGAAAGCACATAGCTATAGCAAAAAATCAGTTGGATATTGATGATTTTTTTAAAAGGTGTGATCAGCAGTAAATGGCCAATCAACTTGTGGAGCTTACACCTCTGCTTTTTGTTCATTGTGTGCAGTCAGGGTTTAAAAATACTTGAAAATCTGAGAACTTTTGATAATTCGAACTCATTGATAATTCAAACAAAATCTAGAGGTTCCTTCGAGTTTGAATTAATGAGAGTCGACATATCATGCAACTAGAAATAAACATAGGTACTTGCTTGATATAGTTGTGACTGCATAAAAAAATTGCGAGCAAGACACATTTTTCAACAGCAAAGTGTGGGCTATGCACAGGAACAGGTTTACTTATGGAAGCAAGAACTTACATAAGGAAGGAATTCAATAAAAAATGCAACAGCAGTGAAAATAGATAGTGAATGTGAATAAAAAATTAAGTGTGCTGATGGTAACAAGGGTAAATCAACTACCAGAAAATAAAAGGTAAAATATAAACTATAAAAGCAGAAACAGTGGTAAAAAT